TCATCATCATCATCATCATCATCATCATCATCATCATGATTGAGTCGTTGTAGACTCGAAATTATGATGAAAATGTGCTTCAGCTCTTGTGGAGTCCTCAGACTGACGCACCCGACAAAAGCTTAGCTCATTTTTACCGGAAATGAGGCGGCCACGTGCATGCAGACAACAAGAGTTCTCTGATGAGATCCACCCAAGAATGACTTCATCACACATTTTTATGCAATATGAAAATCTGCTTAACCCCGAAAAATCAGCAGTTCTATCGAAACTCAGTTACCACCTACTTCTTCTTTTCATTTCGTCCGAAAAGTTGGGTGCAAATGATTGGCAAAATGGTCTCATCAGAATCGGAATCAGAATCGGCTTCACTTTTCCTCTCAAAAGGCTAATTCTTGAGCAAAAAAGTTTTCGGGGCTATCGGTAATCCATGAATACTAGGTTGGTAGGCCCGAGTCTCTCGGGGTAATTTAATGAGCGATAATTGAAGTTTTACACGATTAAATGAGAAGGCCTAGCCCTATTCTTACTAAACGTCTAATGAACTTTACGAAACCTACTCAATTGGTGTAGAGTAGTGTCGTCGATAGTAATTTGAGATGCCTTAAAAGTTTCATCTGCCCCTTGACCCGATGGACACCTGGGCGGTGCAATGTAGTGGAAACGCTTGTCAGTTTGACGTGTACGTCTCGGTTTCGAATCCAATTTGCGTTGCTGATACGACCTAGACGAAGGAGAGGCAGTAGTCCAATTCGGATGAGAGAGCCTTCGGATAGATCAACTAGCAGTCCTTCAGTCGCCTTAGGCTGACTTGGGTTCGTATTTAATATTCACTGACAATTTCGTACACTACTCACTTTGCGAGTGGAATAATTGAAACACCGTGATTTGAATACGACCACAGGATTCCGAAACCACTTACAAACGGGATTCGAACCTGTGTCGTGAGTATCGTGGAGACATTACCACTACACTCCACAGCCACGGTTGCCAATGGGTCACGGAGCTGATGTGACGCTTAAGATGAGCCCGTCTCATGGTAATCACGTTTTTCATAGTGAGGTTGCCGAGTAAGCAGACATTGCAAGCGACAACCCTACTGATTTTCATTGTTTCAGTCGTTTCCGAGGCCTATGCCGTCCAAGGAGAGTTGAGGACTGGCAGCTGAGTTTTCCCACAATCAAATGAGTAGGCCTGCAATGCCATTGAAGCTCATTAATCCTAACCTCCAAAAGGGCTCCTGTGTCTCCTCAACATCCCCAACGAGGTTCGAGACCGTGTTGTAGGTATAATTGAAATGTTACCACTCAACTTGGAAACTGCTCACAACAAACATGCGGATTGAGCTTTCGTCTGTCTCGTGACGCGTCATTCTTCAAACTAGAGTCAGGAAAATTCATCGGCTCCCCGTATATCTACTCTAAAACTATGAAGTTTGTTTACTTTAAAGTAGAAATACAGCAGAGATGGCTTCAATTAATTAGAACAGAACATTTTCGGACATCAAGATTTGAGGAACCCTTGTTCCGAATGAGTAATGTTGGACACTTTTTTTGAACCAACAAAAGGCTGGTTGAGACGCTTCATTTGTTCAGGCGGCTCAACGGTGTCTCGTCATAAAGGCATCGCTGAAGCATGAATCGTGATTTAATAAAGTGTTTCGATCTGAACTATGCCACTCAATTGTCGCAATCACTGATAGATTCTGCGACTACTCAAACGGCAAATAGTAGTATCGTCGGACAGAAGTTTGCCTCATTGACATGCTTACTTGTGAAAGAAGGCAAATTAAAATTCACTGAGGAGGGAAGACTTTCCCTTCGTAGGAAAGTGCATGAAAAGGAGATTCAAAGGTCGATCTCACCACAAGATGACGGCTGATCCCCGTCGTAATGTAGCCATTTGACTTTACTAAGACGTTCAGGTCGGCGCAGTCCACGAGACACCATCCCTCGTTTCAAGTGAAAATGGTCTGAGATTTCGTTCATCATACGATGGACATCATCAGAGCTGGAACTCATTCTTGTGAAAATCTCACGTTGATACTCGATCAAGGAGACTATTCGGTTCTATCTTATCTCTTATTTATACTCATAATTAAAAACGAAAATGAATAGGCCCAAATAGATCTAGAATGGTTTGGCCAATTATCTTTTATATTGCTCCTGCAACTTTTGCTTGCGTGAGTGTGTGTGTTAATATCTATACGCAATACCGGTCCCAAATCAGAGTGATCAAAAAAGGCTAATGTCAGGACCTGGTCACCAAGCTCCGACCGAGCCTGCGTGAGTCCGTAAGCAAGTATGGTCGAGAAAATGAGATGCAAACTTGTAAGCGTGCAAGTCAGACTATTAAAGCGTTGAGCTTACTTCTATTTTGAGTAAAAGTGTTTGGTGAAGAGATTCGAAGGTCGATTTCACCAGAAGAAGATGCTGGATTCCCCTTTACCAGCTGTCGATTGGTTTTACTGGAGCATTCTTGTTGACGCTGCTTCCGAGGTAATCTCCTTCAATTCCGGTGAAAAGTGCTAATCTCTCGTCCGTTGTATGACGAACATCATCACAGCAAGGTATCCTCTTTACAGCCAAATTCAAGCTAACAAGTCAAGAAAACTCACTGGCTCATTCCTAAAAAGCTGCCTATCTTTGATGTGGTATAAAGTAATTTTGAGCCATCACTGCTGGTTTCGTATATACGTGAAGGCATACAGAGACGCTCCTGGGTTGACATATGACTGGAACTAACCAAATCACTTTACGCCTCATCAAAGAGGTCAGATATAAAATTTATATGCTGCTTTTTAGTGATGAGCCGGTGAGTTTTCTTGACTGGTTAGTCGGAATTTAGTTGTGAGGATGACACTCTCCCCTGATGATGTTCGTCATACGACGGACGAAAGATTATCACTTTTTCACCGGAATTGAAGGAGATTACCTCGGAGGCAGCGTCAACAAGAATGCTCCAGTAAAGCCAATCGACAGCTGGTAAAGAGGAATCCAGCATCTTCTTCTGGTGAAATCGACCTTTGAATCTCTTCACCAAACACTTTCACTCAAAATAGAAGTAAGCTCAACGGTTTAATAGTCTGACTTGCACGCTTACAAGTTTGCATCTCATTTTCTCGACCATACTTGCTTACGGACTTACGCAGTCTCGGTCGGATCTTGGTGACGAGGTCCTGACATTAGCCTTTTTTGATCACTCTGATTTGGGACCGGTATTGCGTATAGATATTAACACACACACATACACACACACACAAGCAAAAGTTGCAGGAGTAATATAAAAGATAATTGGCCAAACCATTCTAGATTTATCTGGGCCTGTTCATTTTCGTTTTAATTATGAGTATATATAAGAGATAAGATAGAACCGAATAGTCTCCTTGATCAAATGCTAACGTGAGATTTTTACAAGAATGAGTTCCAGCTCGGATGATGTCCATCGTATGATGAACGAAATCTCAGAACATTTTCACTTGAAACGAGGGATGGTGTCTCGTGGACTGCGCCGACCTGAACGTCTTAGTAAAGTCAAATGGTTACATTACGACGGGGATCAACCGTCATCTTCTGGTGAGATCGACCTTTGGATCTCCTTTTCATGCACTTTCCTTCGAAGGGCAAGTCTTCCCTCCCCAGTGAATTTTAATTTGCTTTATTTCACAAGTAAGCATGTCAATGAGGCAAACTTCTGTCCGACGATACTACTATTTGCCGTTTGAGTAGTCGCAGAATCTATCAGTGATTGCACGTTTTCACCTCGAAGACACGGTCAGCAATAATGTTCCAGCTTAGCTAATCGACAGCTGTCGTCTTCTGGTGGAATCGCCCATCAATTCTGTTCTTCATGTACTTTTAAACGAACTGAAAGTCCGTCAAGTTTTATCAAAATTCACTGACTTTCTTGATTGGGCCAACTCAAACTTCCAAAATCTAGAGTGACCCAAGTTACTACTCGACATCTACTGACACTTTTAAGCCTTCGATATAAAAGTACTTTTGCGTCATTCCTTTTTTATGCGAGCTGTTGGTCAATCCCTCTCTCCGACCCCCAACCCCTCGCCTATAGTCCCGTCCGGACAGATGGATATACGACTTTCCTGGTCCACTGCTCCCCTAACGACACTATTGTTCAGACGGCTGAATACAGTCGTACAGGCAGACAGTAGTATAGACATACAGATAGATAGATAGATAGATAGATAGGTGAATAGGAAAGGGGCCAATTGTGTCAAGGTGAGAGTTACTAACCCTCGTGGAGGATAGGACCAATCGATTGCCATCTACCCGGTGGCCACCCTAGCTCAGTCGGGCACGAAACCAATCCGAGCCCGAGACGTTATCCAACTTTTGAGTTTTTTGCTCTGCCTCTCGTTTGATTCGTACCGCCCTCGACCAATCAGATCACGACCAAGGCTTGACCCACTTTTGCTGATCTAACAGGCCAATCTGAGCAACGAATACAGCCCGGAACAGCTCAAATAGTTGGTTCTCTCACCTATCCTGTCACGTGGCTCCCGGCCCCCATCGCTAAGATGCCAGGCCGGCGAGATTGCATCCTCTCCGCTCGACCCCTCTCGTTGGGCCGCTCGTCCGCCGTGCTCTCGCTCGCCGCTGTGCGGACGGTTGGTGTTGTGGGTGCGCGGAGTCCGAACGTCTGACGTCGCCAGCACTCGCCTCTCGTCGTCAATGCGTGGCCCCATCTCGGCGACCCGACACACTCTCAAGCCGGCTGCTTGAGCTCTCCACCTCGGCCCTGGCTCCGGACTCACTCGGCCCGCCCAATCCTGCAATGAATACGGCCCTGTCTGCTCTGCCGTTTCCGCTCTCCACCATGACGCCTCAGTCCGTCAGGCCGAGTACTCTCGGCCTGAGGACGCAGCCGCGCTTGGCCGGCCGGCCGATGGAAGGCGGCGCAGAAAAGGAGGGCAGAAACTGGCCAAAAGTGAGGTAAGACCCGAGACCACCTTCATCCCCGTCGGGGCTTTCCAACGAGAAATGTGTCGCTCCGGCCCCATGCTTGTCCACCCTCAGTGTGCCGCTCTCTACTCAGAAGCCCGAGGCAAGCTGGC